GCGACGGCAGCGCTTCGGTCGCGCGTTCGACGCGATCGATGCAGTCGAAAGCATGCGCATCGATCGGCCGAACGCGCGACCGGAGCGCTGCCGTCGCGAAGTCTGAACGCTGCCCAAGGGATTGATATGAAGCGGCTGCGGTGCTGCATGGATATATGAAAACCATATGATATATAGATATATGTGGCCATATCTACCGTAGCGGTTATTGGCACGATGTCAACGGGAAACTCGTCCAAAATTGCTTCCTGAGTCGTGTAGAACAAAGCTTTTTCGCAGGTTTTTGACCGTTTCACTTCACCTTTCCCCACTTTCCCTTTATAGCACCCATGCAAATTTTAGTCCGGGAACCAAGTTATCGTGCATTGTGCCTTCAAGGCCGAAGCTCGTACTCCGAAAGTAATCACAAGAATGTTGAGTTATAGACAAATCTCTTAACCCTACGGTGTCAAGACACACCCAGCTTTTACCATCACGCATAGAGTGCACTGGCCCAGAAAACGTGAGAGGCGGGTTCGAGTCCCGTTTAAGGTCAAGACTTTTGCTTATACTCATCATTCCACTGGTACGTTGTGTACAGTTTTACTGGCCAACAAATCACCAGAAGCTAACCTATACATCACGTGGATGAATATCAGCACCACGTTACAATAACCCATATATTAAAAAATATTTTGGAGACACATGTGCCTTTTCGCAGCTATGCCAGGTATACGATTTGTAAGAAAATCTCTGGAGGAAACGTTCAATGCAAAGGATTAGGGCGAGTGTTTGTAAAATACAATTTAGGTGGGTACATGCCAAGTCCTAGCAGCGCATGAAAGATCCATATTCAGGGAATGACTGATGCGGCAGTTGTTTCGTGAATGAGCTTCATTTTTCGCCTTATGCGGCTGCTCGAGTTCAGCGAGAAATATCCCGTACCGACTGTCGTTCTCTTCAAATCAGTCCTGCAAGTGTGTCGCATGGGCGAGGGGTTAGGTCCTCCAAGTGTAATCCCCATTAGTGCGCTGCTCCCCCTTACCGCTTTAGGAGGACTGCCTGCTCTAGAGAAGTAGAAACAAACAATGGCATCGAATAATACTGCCTAAGCGGACTGTACTCTGAGAGGGACTTTAACCACTGCGTTCTTTTCAGAGGCGTCCGCAGTGTGTTGCCTTTCACTGGCTGTGTGACAAGAGAATCTTAATTTGCCGCGTTGGTGGGCGTCGAGCGCGACGTCATGCTCGCAGATGGTGATGGCTCCAGTAGATGGCGACAACAAGCACATCAGAACTGAAAACAGTCATGTCATGAATGTCTACGATGACGGGGTCTACATGAAGTCCGGTGCTCCAATCGACAGGTTAACACGAGTTAAGAAACGTCGCGCTCATCGCCGCGCGCGGCAGAGCGGCAAATTACGATTCTGTTGCCCGTCTCCCAATTTCTCTACCAATTTAGGAGAATGGCTGCAGAAGGCGCTTAGGATGGCACCGCTCCGTAACAATATACCAGGATGAAATGGAACGTTCCAACTATCAGAAAAGCAGAATAGCAGAAAAGCCTGTAAAATTACGTAATAAGGCGGAGAAATCTACCGTTACGTATGATCTGCTGGTTTGAAAATGTGCCTCCAAGACCGCTAACGCATACCATAGTCCCCAGCACCCAATGGATGCGCTCATGAAAGGATTACCACAAATCTATTAGTCTATTTACGCGTAGTTGAATGGATTTTCATACTATTTCCAAAATTAAAAAAACGAAGCTCTGCAAGGTTACCTTATTCTCAGGTATCACTGGAAGTCCGCTCTTTACTTTCACTGAAGTCGTGCGTACACAAAGCAGCTCATCCAACCGGTAAGTGATGGAATGTCGGTGAGACGTACTGCAAACACAACTGCAATATATAGCGTAATCATAAACGTCGTCTATTTCTCATCTCCTCTCAAAGCTCGAGCATGACATTGGGGCCCAAATCGCTCTATTGAGGGAAAGAAGCAAATAAGTGGAGGTGCTTGAAGTTTTGGAAAACAAACTGGAAGAGGTTCCTTATAGGCAAAATCCGCGATTGTTCGCCATCACAGATAGTGGATTAGGGGTTTGCATATAGACGACAAGGTCTGAGTAACTCGATAGTGAAGAAAAAAAGCAGAAAAAACATGCCACCTGCCCTAGATAGAACCCCATTTCGATCCCAGTTTGTACGTGCCCAATTAACTCTATCTCCAACACTACGCCCTCATCCGCACAGCTGATTCCCCGATAAGAACTCTACGACCGTACAAAAGACGAATTTTTTTCTCGTCCCGCAGCTTCGTTTTTCTCTGAAACGGCGCGCTTTAAAGGCGGAGCCAAAAGGCGGAGTCACTGGAAAAAAGGAAGCGTCAGTGAACCAATATTGCGCTGTAGCGCCCCTCCCTTACAATGTTTTGCAGTGTCATCGGGACTACCTTCCCGAGTTCACGTTTTCAAATTCTATACCTGATCGGGAACGTGCCGTTAAGAAAAGCACAAGATTACAGAACAGCAGTACGTGGGAAGCATCGCCGTAGGTTGTTCGTTGAGCACTTCAACCTTTATTTCACCCGATGCAAAAGTCCTTACTCTCATTCTTCCCAGAAGTATAGGTGAACACGAAAGGAAGAGCGAAAAAGTAAGAACTCATGGGTTACTGAATTAGCGAAAGATAAAAGGTAGAAGGTAGGAGTATGCTTGGGGTGAAACTACTCTGATGATTCAAGTGATCAGTGGTATTTGCACTTAATGGGTTTAAAGGAGCACTCACTCGAGCAGTTCGAAGGAGAACACGTTGATGTTGCGGTAGAAGACGATCTTATGGTCCTTGCCATGAGGAGACGTTACCAATGCGGACAGAGTTCCCTCAGTGCCTTCAATTTCACTTCGGGACGATATTGGTACAACGCAGACATCACTATTACCTGAAACTACGCATTTCGAGAACTTGTGAAAACTTGGTGAAGATCAAGGTCTTTTCCGTGACTGGTGGATGTTCTAAAAGGATCACGATTTTCGCGCTCATTACCGTCCGTTGTGCTGTCAGTGTAGATGGTAATGTGATGTCCGTGAATTATAAAAGGAAGAAATACAAAGTCAAATATATGTGAATCATAAGTTGTTCCTGAAGATGCAGCACAACAAACTTTGCTCTGTGTCACCCATGACTCACAAGCCAGCAAAACCCCCCCCCCCCCGTTGCTTCCTCTTCAATACTGAACTGGAATCCGGGAGACTTTTTTCAAATCACCCCGGTGAGGAGAAAGAAATTAAGCGGAAATGGGAACCGAATATGCACTGACCCAACAGTTATAAAACTGACTACTGTCAATTATTGCCGAAGCAATGGACGCTGCTATGGTCGCTACGCAGCACCTGCATTTGGACCTTAAAGCCATAAGGCACGATATTTTGGTAGTCGGTCTGAAATGGTAGCAGAGGTACTAAATGTTGGTGAAAATGGCGAAAAAGTGGAGTGAAACTGTCAAGAACCTGCTAAAAAGCTTTTCTCTAAATGATTCAGAAGGCGATTTCGGACGTGTTCCCCGTTGGCATCGTGCCAGTCCGCTATGGTAGATACAACTACATATATAGTTTGTAACACTGCCATTCGTCGGGGGCGGCGTGAGCGGCGCGGTTCGAGCCCGCGTCCGGCTGCCTTGCTCTACCAATGGCGATCGGGTAGAGATCGATTTAGGAAGAAATCAACCACTGGTGGAAGCGCCGCAGGTGGGAACCGCTGATTGCGACCCGACAGGTTACAATGATACAAACTGTGTGTACCGATAAAATGAAGCACCTCAGCCGCTTTATATGTATCAGTCTCTTCGCTTCGTATTGTACTTCGCAAATGAAGCGATACGAGCATCAGGATAGCTCGGACATTTGTGGGCGGGTGGGCGCGGTGTAGGAAATATTTTGCTGATAGGGGCGCCGTAGAGACCTTCCTTGGAAAAGGCGTCAGCGCTGCTTAGGAGCGCATCTGTCCTTCTAGTGCCGTAAATTAATCACTGCTACGTCCTGAGGATTATGCCCTTGACTCTAAAAGATCACTTCGCCTCAGCCTCATAATATGGGCGGGACCGTCCGACCTTCTCCCATTCTGCACTCGTTCACTGCATTTGCAGTCATTCACGAAAGATGTAAGAAAAAAAAAGCGTCTAATGAGAATGCGCACAAATGGTGACGGTCAGCTCCGACTGTTCCGTGTGAAATTTCCAATAAAGCGCTTCATATAAAAGCCCAGTTCAATTTTTTTTTCTTGCACGTTTTCGGAGCGATTATTCTAATGTGCAGGCGAATTGGTGGCGATGTCGGCACGCGCACGTAACCCTTTGGGCATCAGCGAAACGGTTAGCCGATTCTTGTCCAGGAGGTTAAATAGGCCAGCGTTTCACACTTTGTAGGCGCCTTACTGCGTCGCCTACAGCGTCGCGCGCTTACAGCGTCGCGCTAGTACAGGCGTCCGCGCTGGTACAACTGCGCAGTGTCGGCTACAACTGTAGGGCAACAGTTGTACCGAACTCCAGCTTTTATGTTTTTTCTTTCTATATCATCCTCTTCTCTTTGTTTCTAATATTTATCTGATAGTGAGCTCCTGTTTTCTACTTTATCACATTTTGATGTAGTTTTTGATACAGAAGACTGTGGTAATTGGTTTTATTTATCGTTTCTGACTTTAGTTATTTGGTTTCACAGTTGCTGATGATTTGATGGCTTTGCTTGATGTCTTGCAGTGCTGCCTCGTTTTGATCCCGATTGCGAAACTACATTAAAATGTGATAAAGTAGAAAACAGAGCTCCATATTAGATGAATATTAGAAACAAAGAGAAGAGGATTGAATACAGAAAGAATGAATACGGAATCCAATGCCGCTTATCAATTATGGGGCGAAATCTGCTTTTAGAGTTTGCCCCCAATCTCTGCCTGGATCACAGGAAAAAGATTTATGCCGGTTTTCGAGGCATTCACAGCCAACAAAGCCTGACAATTTCTGTACTTTTTTTTTGGCTAGGGAGAGTATCCAGTAAATTGAGTCGGCATTTGTCGGCGAGCCAGAAAAAAATGGCCTCATCTCCCACAACAGGCACGCGAAGACTGTCTGATCACCAATGCGTTAGCACAATGCAAACAAGAAGTTCCTTCATGGTTCTTGTGTCTCCGGTAAAAAAAACATGCATGCGTGCTTTTAGGTGGCGCGAGCGGCGCGAGTACTCTTTGGGTGTTTTTTGCAGAAAATGCTCTTAATAGGACAGAAGGACACTGTTACGCTAAAAGCAGTACCAGAAAAATAGTGACTAATGGAGTAACTGTCAAGGATGGTCAGATAGTTACAGCTGTATCAGTCT